GGAAACTGGAAAATGATTTATGTTGAGGAAAAAGGAAATAATCAGAATTTGTGGCATGCAGCTAATGTAGTCTGCAGAGGAAAATTAATAGCCTTAAATGTTTATATCAGAAAATTAGGAAGGTCTAAAATTGATGAGCCTATTTTTCACCTTAAGAAGCTAGAGAAAAAGAGTGTATTAAATGCAAAGCAATTAGAAGAAAGGAATTTATAAAGTTAGGAGCAGAAATAAAGTAGAAAAATGGAGAAAAATGAAGGAAACCAAAATCTGGTTCTTAGAAACAAGCAACTGAGTTGATAAACATCAGTTTAGCTGATGAAGGCTGTAATATAGAAGATGCAAATTTGTCATATCAGGAATGAAAGATGCGACATCACTAAAGATCCTACAATCATCAAAATGACAATACTGGAATATTATTTAAAAAATTATGACGATAAATTCAACTACTTCCATGAAATAGGCAAATTCTTTTAAATACTCAAATTGCTAAAACTGACTCAAAAAGAAATGAAAAATCTGAGTAGCCCTGTAACTATTAAAGAAATTAAAATCACAATTAAAAACCTACCCACAAAGATAACTCCAGGCCCAGACACTGTCACTGATTAATTATATTCTACAGTAGGAACAAGTCAAAACAATTCTACACAATTACTTTCAGAAAATGAGAGAAGAGGGATACTTCTCAATTCATTTTATGAAGCTAACACTCACCATTAATAAAACCTGATAAAGACATTACTAAACAAGAAAGCCACCAACCAATATTTCCCATGTATATAGATGCGAAAAAGCTTAATTAAAGCTTATTAATTAAAATCTTAATAAATTGAATCTACCAACATGTATTCCAGGGATGCAAGTTTGTTTTGCTATTCAAAACAAATCAAGGTATTTCACAGTACTAACAGAATATAGGAGGAAAACCACTTGCTCTTCTCAAGAGATGCAGAAAGAATGTAACACAGCTTAACACCCATTTGTGATAACAGTTCTCTGTAAACTAGGAATAGGCAGAAACTCTCTCAAAAGAATAAAGAGCATCTAACAAAAACTTGCAGCTAGCGTAATATTTGGTAATAAGAGACCAAACATTTCCCCTCCAGGATTGAGAACTTGGCAAGCATGCTGTTCTCATCACTTCTGCTCAACACTGCACGAGGTCCTAGCCAATCCTGGGAGGAAAAAATTAAAATAAAAGCCAGATTGGAAAAGCAGCAGCAAAACTTCTTCATTCACAGACAAGTCTTTTATCAGGTTTAATTAAGTCAATGAATCATAGGGTTACATTGAGTGTTCAAACTATAGAAATCCTAGGAAAAATGTCTTTGTAACCTTGAGATAGCAAAGATTTCTTACCTATGACACACAAAAAAAGCACAAACATCGTGCTTTGTGAGATTAAGAACTTGGTAAGTTCTCGATCCTGGAGGGGAAATATTTGGTCTTTTATTACCAAATATTACATTAGCTGCAACTTTGTTAGATGCTCTAACTTTGTTAGATGCTCTTTATGCTTTTGAGAGAGTTTCTGCCTATTCCTAGTTTATGAATTAATGTCTAAAAATCTAGAACAAACAAAACTGATCTCTAGTGACAGAGAGCAGACCCGTGGCTAGGTGGGGCTGGAGGAGAAGGTGGGATTGGCCGGAAATATTCTATGTCTTGAACCTGGTGCTGTTTACACTCATTTGTCCGAATTCATAAAACTGTACACTCAAAGTGGCTGCATTATTACGTGTATAATATATCCTAATAAAGTTGCTTTCAAAATGAATGAGACACCTGACCAGGGGCATCACAGGAAAAGATACATGAGTGAGCAGCGAGCACCCGAAATGATGCTCAGCATCCTCGGTCACCAAGGAAACGCATATTAAAATGAGGTAGGTGAATGTCACTCCCGCTCACTGGGAAAGGCCAAAATTATAATGGCCCGACCACAAACATGCAGGTGGTGAGGATTCCCAAACACTGGCTGGTGGGGATTTAGGATGGTGCAACCACCGTGAAAACTCTTTCACGCCTCCTTATAAAGCAAGACAGCCTCCATCCGATGAACCCACATTCTCTCTCCAGACATCACCGGAGAAGGTGAACACACACACACACACACACGTGAACACACACACACACACACACACACACACGGAGGATTTCCTCCGAATGTTTACATAGCAGCTTTGTTCATAATTGTCAAAAGTTTAAAACAACCCAAATAATCGTCAAGAAATGGATAGAAAACAAACTGTGGCATATTCATAAATGGAATACCATTCCCCAACAAAAAATAAGGACTACAGCTACACCAAACACCACGGATAAACCTCTCACTGACATCATGTTGGCGGAAAGAAGGCAGACGCCAAAGGACAAGTGCTGTGTCATTTCCCGTGCACAGAGATCTCGGACAGGCGAATCTAATCCACGGTGACAAAATCCAAACAGCAGTTGCATCGGCAAGAGAAATGGGACGATTCCCCAGAAAGAGACCCGAAGCAATTCTTCTTGATTGAGATCTTGTCACCTGAGTGTACATGTTTGTCAAAAGTCACTGAACCATACTCTAAAGTCCGTGTGATTTCTTGTACACAAACTACACATCCATGAGAAAAACTCAGGACAAATTTTACAATGGCATCTGAAAATATGAAAAAAGAATAAATCTAGCAAAATGTAAAAGGTCTTTATTCAGAAAACTATAAAACATTGAGAATTTTTTTAAAAGCTCTTATAAATGGAGAAAACACAATTTGCATTGATTGGAGGACTCTATGCCATGCCAGTCAAAATCCCATAAAGAATTCCCATAGAACTTGCTATGGTGGGTCTAAAATTTCAGTGCAGAGCCTAGAGCACTGGTTTGGGAACCAGTGAAGATCCACACGGGACAAAAAAAGAACCTGCCCCCACCTCTCGCCATACACAAAAATTAATTTGGACAGACAGAGATCCAACAGCAAAAGCCAGAGCACTTACTAAAGCTTTTAAAGTGATGGGAGAAAACACCTTCACGACCTTCTGATGGGGAAGGACTTTTGCACAAGACTCAAAATGTAATAACCACGAAGAAAAAGGTGGGTAAATTTGGCCACATAAAAATTAAGTTATTTCTGTTCATCCAAAAACACTGGTAAAAGCGTCGGAAGGCAAGACCAGTGGTGGCAGAAAATACCTGTGACACACATAACTGACAAAGGTCTCTCATCTAAAATGTAGGCAGAACTCCTGCAAATTCAGGAGAAAATGGGTCAGACACTTGAGCAAGCACATCACAAAAGCGGATCCCCAACAGGTCGGTAAACATCGAAAATGGTGCCTGCTAGCCTCCAGGGAAATGCAAATTAAAACCTCAATGAGAAACCACCACAAACGCAACAAATGAGCCGAAATTATGAGGCGTGATGAGAACGCAGAGCAATGGAGATTCTCACACTCGGAAACAACGGGAGAGAGTTCAGGTGGTCCGAGAAATTCCAATGCCCAACACCTTAGTTCTGAGGTATGACATTCAGCAGAAAAATTTTCACAAACGCGCCAGGACCCAAATGTTCTTCAACGGCAAAATGGATAAATAAGTCTCAGTATGCAGTGATGAAAATGAATGCACTGCAGCCACACACAACATAATGGATTAATCTTTAAAACATCATGTTGAGTCAGACAAGCCAAACACAAAAATCTGTACTATATCATTTCATTTACATAAATATTTAGAACATGCAAAAACTGAGCCATATTATTTAAGGACAACTACCTAGGTAGCAAAGCTAGAAATCTTTACAAAATAAAGCAAGCTACAAAATCAAGGAAGTGATTGCATAAAGGTCAGAGTAATGATTAAAATTTTGAGGAAGCAGAAGGGTGGCTGGGAGTGGGAAGAGTCACTTGGGGGTGGCTCTGGTGGCTGGAAGGGGCCACACAGGCATTGGCTGCACGTGCTTTAGGGCCAAGGTGAGGTTTCTTTTTTGAGATGGGAGCCAGTCAATGATGCTGCCCGTCTGATGCTGCCCATCACGGTCACCCAACCTGGAGAGAAGAGGAAGGAGAGATTGCCCTGGAGGGGCAGGAGGGTAGAAGTCCACAGACAGGGTGGGCCTTGGGCACCTGGACAGCCCGGCCAGCAGAACACGGGTCCAGGACAGATGCCGACAGACACAGAGGAGGGAAGGTGAGTGGGATTCCTGACTGCACCTGTAAGGGAGGACTTTTCCACTCCCTTCCTAACAGTAGCATAACTGCAAGCTGGCATGACTAAGCAACTAAAGAGTGACCTTTGGCCAGATTTCAATACTGTGCATAGCTGCAAACTGGCATGACTAAGCAACTATAGAGTAACACGTGACTAGACCTCAACCTCATGCAGACTTTGTAACCATTTGCTTTTGTTTCATATAAAAGCCACCATGCTCAGACCCCATTTTGCTCAGAAGTTGGAGGCGAGACCCCTCTGAGCCCGCCGGTGTCATGAAAGCCTGTTTTGCAGTACTGCCGTGTGGCTCTCGGTCTGTTTCCCGGTCTGGTTTGCTGTAACACACCCTTCTCCTTTCTCGGAGAAATAAGACTAAGACGCTATGTCAGTGGCTCCGTCGTGCCAGGGCCTGTGGAGTCACCTGGTTTCTCAACACCCCCGGGTGGGGCCGGAGACCAGGTTGGCCAGGCCCACCCAGCTGCCCTCGAGGCTGGGCCTGCTGAGCTAGCGACGGCCACGGCATTGCTGCGGCAGTGTGTACAGCTAGTGTTATAGCTCTTATTCATTTGACCGGGGAAAGAACCGAGCGGCACACGAAGAGTCGGAGAACAGCCTTTATTCTTCCACAGCAGGCTCAGCACACCTAGTGTGACAGCTCTCTTGGTGTCATCCGATGTCCTCCCCTTCCTGCCCTTCTGCCCCTGCTTTTGTACCCTTGGTAGGGCTCAAAAAGCGTCCAATCAACTACAAGCTTTAACATCCAATCAGCAACAGGCTTTAACATCCAATCAAAAACAGTGGGATTCAAAAATTACCCAATCAGAAGCACGCAAACAGTGTGGCTGGAAACAGGCAGCGGCACGTTGGCCTGGGGGCTTTCCTGCATGCGGGGGTCCCGGGCGGCTGTGTGTCTCGGGCCCGGCCCCAGCAGCGTGCCCTCCAACTGGCCATGCGCAGTGCTGGCCCTCAGAGATGCAGAGCAACGGGGAGGTTGCCAGCGGCCGTGTCCCTGCGCCTGCCATTTTCCATATCAGCATCTCCCCAGGCTGGGAATTGGAGAGTGCACCCGAAAACCGGTGGGGACACCTAGACATCCAACACCCAGATCGAGGGGCCAGGGGACGTCACCTGAGCCTGCAGAAACTGAGCCCTGAAGAGGAACGCACTAACGATCATCATCTGTGTTGCTGGAAAGAAGCGCCGAGCAAGCTCCGGAATGGGATACCCAAAGGGGCCTCGCTGGCCCTGAGAACGCCGCGGGAACACAGAGCTCCTCCCGTGCAGACGGCGCGGCCGCAGGGACGGGAAGGAGGGAGGAGTTCCTTCTGAGCCGCTGCCAAGTTCAAGTTCTTCCGTGCAAAATTCGCCTGTGGGTCTGAAATGATAAAATGAGGGAACTTGGTAAATACCGGCTGCGGCACTCCTGGCCGTTCCAGCTCTCTGCGAAGAAACAAGGCCGGAACCCAAGACTGCTCCCTCCTGGCAGCGCGCCAGCCGCCCGAGGCGGGCGCCGCGCGGGGTTTGAGCGCTGACGCGAGGGCGGTGCCCGCTTCTCGGCTCTGCCCAAGCACTGGCTGGCTCCAGACACACTTCACGGACGTTTTTGAGCACCAAAATGGACTTATTTAAAATTCCAAGAACCGCATGGAAACACGGTGACATTTAATGATAAAGTTGATGGATTCAAAGCAAAAAAAAAAAACCCACCTTTAGAAAAGCGAAATGGGAAAGGGCTCACCAGCGATGGTTAGCGGGGCTCGTGATTCAATTCCCGAAGAAGAATCATTAAGGCTCCGGGAACAACATCTGTGGGCGCCGGGGAAACCGTCATCGTTATTTTGAAATATTTGATATAAAAAGTTCAATTAGATTCAAAACCCATTTGCATTATCACAGAAAATTCTAAACATTATATTTGTCAATGCAAGAAAAGGCGGTTGTTGGATGAGAAGAACGAGCTCAATTTCAGAGAGACTGAATTATGCGAATTCCGGTTTGTGGGGAGGGAAGAAGTTTTGCCAGTCTCGGGGACGGCCATGGGGGCCTCCGGCCTGTCACTCTCGGGCACGGGCTTCAGGGCCCGTCGGCGACCTGAGGAAACCAACCCCGAAACCGTCTGAGGCCGTTGCCAGCATGAGCCGGGTGTGGAAAGGTCACATAGCATGCGCAGCCTCCGACCTTAAATTTTTCGAAGGGTTTTATTCTGAAGTTTCTGAAGTTCAGCCTTTAATGTTGTTGCTGCTACTTAGCATTTTCTCCTAACATTCTGTAGTATGAATGTTGTGGCAGTATGTACAGCCAGCGTTACAGCTCTTATTCATTTGACCACGGAAAGAACCGAGCAGCACATGAAGAGTCGGAGAACAGCCTTTATTCTTCTACAGCACCTAATGTTACAGCTCTCTTCCTGCCTTCCGATGTTCTTCCCATGTTCTACCCCTTCCCGCCCTTCTGTCCCTGCTTTTATACCCTTGGTGGGGCTCAAGAAGCATCCAATCAACTACAAGCTTTAACATCCAATCAGCAACAGGCTTTAACATCCAATCAACAACAAGCTTTAACATCCAATCGAAAACAGTGGGATTCAAAAATTACCCAATCAGGATCACGCAAGCCACGTGGCTGGAAACAGGCAGCGGCACGTGGGCCTGGGGCATTCCGGCACTCGGGGTCCCAGCGGCACTCAGGGTCCCGGGGAGGCTGGGCGCCCCAGGGGTCCAGCCCCAGCAGCGTGCCTCTAACCGTCCACGCACAGCACTGGCCCCCGGAGATGGGGAACTACGGGGAGGCGGCAATGGGCCGCGACCCGGCGCCCGACATTTTCCGAATCATGAAGACATGGGGACATCTCCCCAAGCCCCAGCTCCCCACGGCGTGCTCCAGTCAGAGCACATGAATGTGGCCACGCTCTGTGTCTGCCATACGTGGACAGGCCCAGGGACCAGGCAGGGCCCTGCCACAGACGGCCTGCACGGAATCCCCACCCTCCACCTGGACACCTGCCTGAGCCTGTTTCTCCTGTGAAAAATGGACAAATAACCTAAGAGGGTTTTGTTGACATTAAGCATGCAAATTCTGACCCCAAATGGCTGCTCAATCCACACCCAAGGCCACGCTGTGGGAGGAAGGCAGGCCCAGGCCGCAGGCTGAAGCAGGGTCCCCAGGAGGGTGGGAAGTCACGTGACTGGGCAGTTGCGTGTCGACACTGACCCCCCCAAGCCCCAGGTGGGTCAGGGCAGGGCCTCGCCGAGACCCCACGGTCCATCCCCCGGCCAGGGCTCTGCCCACCCCAGGGACTCTGGGGCCGTGGCTGGGCTGGCACCTGGTCTGCAGTGGCCTTGGTGACTTCCAGGTGCTCAGACGCCGCCCAGGCCTGCGGCACAGGGACACACCTGCGGCCGGCTGTCCCCCGCTCTGCCCAAGGAGCCCTCCGCACAGGCAGGGTCCCTGGGCAGCGTCCCGGCCAGCTCCCCTGGCGTTGGAGGTGCAGCCAGGCCAGCTGCCGGGGGGGGGGGGGGGCGGCCCACAGCCCGTGGGTTCCGGAAGACACACCCAGCCCCTCCCACATGGCTATGAGGGACGGCGGCAGGGGCCACCCACCCCGACAGTGAGGGGCCCAGGGCCCGGGCTGGGAGGCACACACCACACTCCACACACACACCCCACACACCACGGCACACTCACACGCACCCCACACTCACACCCCATGCTCACACATACCACACACGCACCCCACAGACGCCCCACACACACACATCACACATACCACATACACACCCCACACTCACACAAACACGCACCCCACACTTGCACCCCACACTCACACATCACACATACCACACACCCCAGACACACCACACACACCCCACAGGCACACACACACCCCCACACTCACACATCACGCATACCACACACACCCCACAGACACACCCCCCCACACTCACACATCACGCATACCACACACACCCCACAGACACACCCCCCCACACACACACACACCCCACACTCACACATCACGCATACCACACACACCCCACAGACACACACACCCCACAGACACACACACCCCACACTCACACATCACGCATACCACACACACCCCACACTCACACATCACGCACACCACACACACCCCAGACACACACCCCCACACTCACACATCACGCATACCACACACACCCCACAGACACACACACCCCACACACACATCACGCATACCACATACCACACACACACCACACAGACACACACACCCCCTACACACCACACACGCACACACGACCTCCACCCACGTCTCTCGGGCCCACGCAGGCCGCACGGCCGTGCTAGCTGTGGAGGGCGTGCTGTGCCGTGCCCCGCGCCCCCGTGGGAAGCAGCAGACACTGCTCGCGCACGGGGCTGGCTCTCCAGGGGCCAGAGGGTGCCGCCGTCTCCTCCCCTGGAGCCCCGGCTCCCCAGGTTCCCGCCCTGGCTCCTCACGGGCACTCGGGCACTGCGCTGGCGACCCTGCGGCCCCGCCGGGAGGCGGCATTGTCTCTGCCACCCACGGGAGCAGCCTGAGCCTCGGAGCCTCCGTCTCCAGCCCGGCCTCACGTGGCGGAGCCTGGAGCCCCGGCGTACCCAGGTGTCTGCGCTTGGGAAACGGCGCCTTCCCGTCCGCCCACGCCCATGCCCCAGAAAGGCGCTGCTCTGAGGGCCTGCACCTCACGGCCAGGCAGCACCCAGGAGACAGGCAGCCTGACAGCAGGGCACCTGCTCCCACCCTCCGTCCCCACCGGGAGAGGCCCTGCCTGCCAGAGTCCCTGCGGAGCCAGAAAGAGCCTGCAGCAAGGGGCAGCCTCGGTGGGGACCACAGGGCTGGGAGGAGGTGGGTGTGCCCTCGGGGCACGGAGGGGATGCAGAGAAGGCCGTGAGGAAGGAACCCTCCTCCTCACCGGCTCAGCAGGAACCCCAGGGGGAGGGACCTACGTGCATGCCTGGGCTGTGCCCTCCATGGACCTGCCCTCCCAGAGGAAGGCCCAGCCTCCCAGCCTCCACTTTGGCCTGGCCTTGTCCTTCACGGGCCTCACCAGCACATATAGGCCAGTCATCAGGAATTCAGTCCTGAGTTATGTAGGACATCCAGTGCCTGGCTTAGAGCAGACACCACTAGATGGAGATGAGATGGATGGATGGATGAGTGGATGGATGGATGGATGGATGGATGGATGGATGGATGGATGGATGGATGGATGGATGGATGGGTGAGTGGATGGATGGATGGATGGATGGATGGATGGATGGATGGATGGATGGATGGATGGATGGATGGATGGATGGATGGATGGGTGAGTGGATGGATGGATGGATGGATGGATGGATGGATGGATGGATGGATGGATGGATGGATGGATGGATGGATGGATGGATGGGTGAGTGAGTGGATGGATGGATGGATGGGTGAGTGGATGGATGGATGGATGGGTGAGTGGATGGATGGACAGACAGACAGACAAAATGAATGGATGGACGGATGGACGGATGGACGGATGGACGGATGGATGGATGGATGGATGGATGGATGGATGGATGGATGGATGGGTGAATGGAGGGGTGGGTGGATAGATGGGCAAGATGAATAGATGGATGGGTGGGTAGGTGGGTAGATGGATGGATAGATGGATGGATGAACAGATGGGTGGATAGATGGGTGGGTGAATGGATGGAAAAATGGGTGCATGGACAGGTGGGTGGACACTGGATGGATGGATGGATAAATGGCTGGCTAGATGGATAAGATGAATGAATGGATGGGTGGGTGCACACTGGATGGATGGATGGATGGATGGGTGGGTGGGTGGATGGATGGATGGATAGGTGGATGGATAGATGGATGAGTGGGGGGCTTTGGGTGCACTATCTGTCAGAATTGCCCACCATGAGGAGGGTAGCAGACATAGCCCAGGGCTTAGAGACCTCACAGGGCCCTTTCAGGAGGCTGCTGGAGCTGGCATCTGATTGGAGCCTGCAAGGACCATCCCCTACTTGTGGGGACAAGCAGTGTCAGGGGCATGGGGCAGGGGTCACATTCAAGGAAAGGCACAGAGGAGGGGGAGTGAGGGGTCCTGCATGAGCACAGGACAGCCACTGCCCCTTGCTGGGCACCTCCTCTCCATTACCTTATTAAATCCAAGCAAGAGGTCCAGGCAGTAGGTGCCGTAATATCCACCCTCCACACTCAAATCAGAGTAGCCCAGGCCCACAAGGAGGGACCTGAGCTGAGACACTCGCCAACAGTCAAAGCCAAGCCCTGCTGGCCCCCTGGTGACCCTGCCTTTCTCATCACAGCCCCTGCTCTCGGCCTGCTTGGGCTCGGGTTCTAACGACCAGAACTCAGTCTTCCTGCAAACAGCCACAGCCCAGCGCCTGCCGGCCACCAGGGCTCCAGCTCTGGGGCTCCACCCCCAGATGGGCGACTCCTCTGGGCACTCCCTGCCCAGCGGCCTTCCCTCCCACGCAGCCTGGCACGGAGCCCCTCTGCAGGCGGCCGCAGTCACAAGCAGCTCAGGTTTCCAGGTTCACCGCCACACTTCTGTGCGTGATATACCCGTGGGCTTCCCGATCCACGCATGTGCCCACTGCAGGAGGGGCGCATGACAGTGGCACTCAGCCCCGCCACTGCTCTTGGAGGCCACCTGAGTGATTAGTGTCAAAACGATTTTACACGTGCATGCTCCTCGTCCCAGCATACCCACTGTTAGGGATTTTCCCTGGAGAGGCTGCCGTGCATTTGCATAAAAAGTGTGCCGTAAGACAGTCACCTGGGC